AGATGATGACCGCAATAAAATATCTGGACCTCGAATCTCTACGCATAGTTAGGGATGGTATCGGTATGAGGGCCTTTTCGGAGGACGCTTCTGGCGAGTCTGCCATCACTGAGCGGTAAGATGCTCACGTTTACAAGCAGAAGGAATGTGGCCAGCTGAGAAAACGTCACTCAGTCTCTAACGCAACGGCTCAACTTCTCAGCTCTTTATGATCACGAATATGCCATCCACGTACCAGAACCACATTTTGGCCTTAATGCTCGCCTAAGAACGTCCCTTCGTTGTTGCACCATTGGGGTCCGTGAGTAGACCGTTATAGTGGAAAACCCAGTGGAGTACCTTCACCCTGTTGATAAAAAGTCCCATCAAGTTGAGGACACCTACTTAGACGGAATCTAAGCATTGCTAATACAAGCGAACATGCGAGTCCCAGGAACTAATTGAGAAGAAGAAGTTGTCTTCTACTCCTCAGTCTAAGCATTTTCAAAGCGTGCATGACCCAATTTCCTTTCCTTTCCTTTCTGTCCCTTTTCCCCCGCATGATCACGTTTTGTAGATTTCCACTGAAATCCGAACTAGTTTGTTTGCATAATTTTCCCCCGCTCCCTCCCCCCTCCACCATGTGCACCCCATATCTTTTATTTACCTATCACGTTCTAGCCCTCTAGATCGGTTTTCACTGGTGAGTGTACCCTACCTTATTAATAGACAATAACTGTACATACTTTAATAAGCAACCATGGCGTTTAACGACAAATATTTCCTTACATTTACCTTATTCACAACATTTTGTATTGGAATGCTGACAGATGTCTTGAAGCTGTTTCATAATGTTCTCAATTGTCATGTCATATGGGTTTGCAGAAAACGGTGTAACCACATCCACTGATAGCTTGACTAGAATGAACATTTCCATCTGCCTTTCCTTTATTATTAGTGCATTCCTGCTCAAAATATCCTATGCGCTGTGTGCTGTGGGGCATCTATGAGGCGACGAATGGGGACCTTGCACGCGTGCCCGACGCAAGTTGCTTCTCTGCCCAAAATCTCCAGGCCGACCTTGCCTATGAAAGATCTCCTGTTCTGCTGGCCTGATTCCTGCTAAGACCTCCCTCGGGACCCGGTCAACCTACTGATCGGACGTGTCTCTCCCGAGTCAATCTA